TGGACCAGTCTGATCGAGTCTGACGATCTGATTCGGTAATTACTATTGAAACCAATATATATATACGTATATATATGAGATCATTTATTTCGATGTGATTATTTCAATTCATATTTTTTTTTACAATACAGAAATTGTTCGCTTTTTAATTTGTGTCAAACATTTACCAAAAATAAATTCATCAAAATTAGCATATTAAAGAGTTTGGTAAATGTTTAAGATGAATATCATTATTATTATTCCTTCAGAATCATGCGGTACGCTTGTGTCGTAATTTGCAATATCTATGATCTGTTGCTTCCAGTATGTTGTAAAATATTTCTCCCATAAGCTTTTAACTGAATAGTTGTCAATTTTAAGGAAGTTTAAACTATTTCGCGAGTCTAAAATTTACATTTGACACTTAGCAAAGCGAAAATGCCTGATAAATGAGATTGGATAAATTTTTTCTCGTGAAATTCAACGGAATTATTTCAAATTACTATTTTAATTTAAGCCGATAATTAGATTATATTTTGAAATAAATTATATCATTTGCATTTAGCAGAAGAAAATTACTAGTTAATTTGATTAAATAAGTTTCTGTAAAATTTTATGAAGTTGTTTTAAACTCATTTCCTAAATTTTATAAAATAATTAGATGATCGTTTGAAATTATACTATCATTTCTCGATTTCTATTAATATGTTGTTTCGATATTTTTTTATATGTTTTGCTTGATTTTATTTTATTTTTATAAACTCTTGTCTTATTCTTTTTTTTTTGTCTTTTTTTTGCTGATATTTTGAAATAAATAACATTTTACTTATTTTAGCTTCATTTCTTGCTTAATACATTTATTTTTTTGCCAGCTTATTCCAACCTCACATGATTATTTTATCTCCAAAATACAATTTGCTTAAATCTGGAAAGAAAAAAAAGGAGAAAATTATCATTAATAATTACTGTCCTTTCTCTTTCTTTTTCTTTCAAAGAAAGAGAAAAAAAAACGAGCTATTATTTGAAAATATTTTATTAAGAAATTGTTAATGAATAATTTATTATACCAATTATATATGTTTAATTTATTATTTAACTCATTCTACCGTTTTCTTTCCATTTCATTGTTTCATATCATCCTCTGATCATATTTCAAATGAATTGAATGGAAAAAAAATTGAATAAATTAAATTGATTTTCTTATTTATATTTGAACTTTTACCAAAGTTATCATAATCTACTATATTTTATCCATTTTTTTATTATTATTATTATGACATAAGATATCAAATCAAATTCATCTTCACTATTCGAATTATTTTTACCTTATGGCCTTGCTATTGAGAAATCTTAAACTTTAACTACCAGGAAGAAATAACTCTGATATATGTAGAAGTAGAAAATGAAAACTATTAGAGATGAAAAATCACATTCTTGTGATTTTTTTCCGAGTGAACAATTTGGTCTTTTTTTTTCATTTTTTGAAGTGCAGCTGCCAATAATCGCTTCAAAATGAGTCTCAAAAATTATCGCTTTCTATCGAATTATCGTGACCTCACTTGAAATTTACCTCCACAGTAACTGCAAAAAGTTCTGATCGTTTTTGTTTTTTTTTAGCAAAATTTGGCTTAATTAGCCTATCAAAATTTTAGCAAAAACAAAGAGAAAAATCAATTCAAAAGAAAAAGAAGAAAAAAAGATTTTAGCATATTAATAGTATGCTATTAATAAGCAATTAGCAATTTATTGTTATTTTGAGCTGTATTTTCTGTGTAATGAAACTGTGAATAAATTTTTTAATTTATTTTCAAAATTGCGATCAAGATTAAGCAATTATATGCTAACAGCTACATTTGTATGTTTAATGGACTGAATCTATCTAAATCTTAATGCAACTGTATAAAATGAGATCATATGTAAAACGAAATTGTAGGAAAAAAAGAATTTGAGAAAACTTGCATTTGAAAAGGGAAAAATATGAAGCTGTTAAACATGGAACAAAATTAACATATTTTAATAAGTTTACAAATTAAAAAAAAAAAAACTTTTTCGATGAGACAATAAATACTATCACAGATTTAATTTTTTCATTTTAATTAGATTTTTTTTTCAATTTTTGTGGTTGAAATTTTTTATACGTGTATATTTTGATTAGTGGTTTATATGTTTGCTAAAATTAACAGTTAATTATATATATGTAAATCGAAAATGAAAATGCACTTACTGTATTAACAGTTTTGTTCAAAAACAAATTTTCTTTACTTTGTTATCTAAAAATTCAGTGAAAAAAAATGTTCACATTATTAGCTAGAAATGAGCAATGAATTATGCTTCAGGATTATCGCATATTTTATTATTCGCTTTTTTTTTCTCCTCTTCTTAATCAAATTAATTAACAAATTGGAGCTTCTTTTGTTTTTTCTCTTTAATTTTTTTCTATTTCATTCTGACAAATTTTGTAAATTTGTGAAATGAAAAAAAAACAACCATGGTTATTAGTATTTGTAATTTTCATAAATTTGTTCCCTTCCAATGATTTTTAAATTTCACACTCATAAATGTTATTGTTTTTTTTTTTCTGTCCACTTCTTAATTCGAAACGATTGCTGTTGAAAAAAACAAAAAGAAGCTTTTATTGTTTGAAAAATTGACACTTTGCAGTTGTTTAATTCTCTCATTTTGCTAATTAATAACTTTGCTGACTTCATTATAACGATCGTTTCTTCTTGCTTATTCCCCCCTCTCATCACTTTAATTTTAATTATAATTTGATAAATTTCTTTAATTATGAATGGATTTTTTTTCTTCAAAATATTTCTTAATGATTAGTTTCAAAAATTAAACGGTCTTTTTCTCTTTTATATGATTTATATATTTAAGTTACAATTGAAGGAAGCAAATTAATTAAAACGTATGGAATTTAAAATATAATCATTCCTTTAATTAACAAAATTAATAAATGAAATGCTCAAATTCTGTTGAATTAGGAAAGTAATCATACAAATATATTTGATGTTACTATGATTATATTCGATATTAATATGTTTGTATAGTTATAACAGAATTCGAGCATTCATTTATCAATTTTGCTAATTAAAGGAATGATTGCATTTTAATTCCATATAATTAAATTGACGAAATAAGATATTCATTGATAAAATAAGTGAACCAATGATAATTCATATTTGAAATGAACTTTGAAAGATAATACTTTCATCCTCTTCTAACTAATCAAAACATTAACAACAACTTTTTAATTTTACTGAAAAACAACTCAAGAAAAAACACTCAAAAAAAACAAAAAAATGAAAGAAGTCCTGCAGCATTAGCTAATTTTCATTGTGTAATAATTCATTTCGGAAAAAAAACATACGGACATTAAAAAAAGTGTTGTTAAAATTTTAATCGGGATTAGTTTTATTGATTACTTTCTTTTTTTTTTGCTTCCGGAAGAAAAAAAAATGAAAAAGCCAAACAAAAGAAAAGAAAAAAAAACTGCTCCTGATTTTTTGAAAAAATTTAAATCAGTTAACTTGCTTTTTTTCCGTGCCCTTTTATCTTCTTCTCTTCATTTCTTTCTCCTTCCTCACACTTTTTGATATCCTAAGTTATGCCTTAGGATGAAATAAACATAAATCATATGATTCAGGCTTGCACCAAATGCTCCACCCGGCTGTTTCATCTATCCATTTCATTATCATTATTATTAGTATTATTGTGTATCCATGTTTCTATCCGTGTTTATTTATTTGTGTGTTAAAATTTGTATATATTGATATGTTATTCATTTAAATTATCCCAAATTAAATTTTTTTAAATGAATTCTTACTTATAGTTAAAGATATGCATGTATTAGCAATGAATTAAAATTTATATATTGAAAAAATTTTTTTGATATATTATGTTTAGCATTATTTAATCAGTGTTATATTAGTTATATGGATTAGATCATTTTGCATTTAAATTATTTATCCGATCTAATACTTTTTTTGTTACAGTATTTTCATTTGATTACTTTGAATTCAAATTATTCGCCTAATCGATAATTGATTAGTCATAGTGAATTTGATCATTTTATATTTAAATCATTATGTTTTTGGCAGACATCTGAATTAAAACATTTTGCATTCAAATCGTATTATCTCGCATCTTTCGCTTGTCATTTTAAATTAGTTATCTATTATTTATTTTCTTCAATTTCTTAATCATTCTTTGTTTTTTTTGTTTTTAATTCAATAATATCAAGAATAGATCGAAGGCAAAAATAACAGAATATTTTTTTCTTCTTCGTCTTTCATCTTCTTTTTCCCGTTTTGTTTGTTTCATTTACCCTTTTCATGTTTATTGAATTCATTCATGCTAAACACTAAAACCAATAATATTAAAATTTTGAAGATAATTAAATTTTCAAATAATCTTAACATTTGCCAACAAATTGAATTTTAACATAACAAGTTAAATTTTCAAATATTTTTAAGATTTTAGAAACAAATTAAATCTTCACATCCTCAAATAATTTCTATATTTTTGCTCGTCAATTTAGTTATCTCATACATTCACCTTCATATTTGTTGCAAATTTTTTTTATTTTTTCCAATAAATTTTATTGCCAATTAACCTTTTTCCTTCTTTCTTTTCTTTTTTAAACATTTACCCTTTTTTTCTATATTATTCATTCAAATTTTAACTCATTATACGACTGATCAGTATATGGTTATTTTCCATAATATTTTATAAATATGTTTGATCAGAAAAAACATTTTAAAATTTAATCGCCTACATTATTTATAATTACATCTATATATTTACATATCTTTCATTTAATTAATACATTTTCAATTATTCGACAAAAGGATTTTTTATAAAAATTACAGATATAAGACTGCATTTTATGTAATTTTTATTAATTATAATTTTTGTCACTGCTCTCTCCCTCTCTTTTCTTTTCTTTTAGAATTTTGAATTAAAAGAAAAAATTTAATTATGTTCCAGGCGAACAGCTGTTTTGGCCACGGGGCGACATGACGATTGGCACAGGTAACATTGGATTGCGTAGTGGCAATCGCAGTACAAAAAATGCAAAATATAGCACAAGCAAAATTCGTTGTAATCAGTATGGTAGTGGGACTACAGGTGGAAACTCAATGCTTGGTGAATTTTATTTTATTTTTTTTTTCTTGCAAAATATTGATTATAAATGATTTAATTAAAATTAAATGAAACCGATTTGACGATCGATAATAGAATGAATTTAAAAAATTAAGCAGATGAACGAATATGTATTCCTACACATGTACCTTCATAATGCTATTATTTGGTTGATTCAGATAAATTCAGACTAGTTATTCTTTTTCTCTCTCTCTCTCTCTCTCTCTTTCCCTCTTCCTCTCTTTTCAACATAAAATTAACTCATCAATAACTAAAAATTTTGAGATATTTCATGGCCTTCAAAAAATGAAAGATAATTAGCTGAGGAAAAGATGAAAAAAAAATTTTTTTTTCGATTTCCGTTCACATGATCTTAATAATCTTTTGGCATTCAATAGAAATTTTCCATCTTTTTTTTTGATTTCAAATTTCAAGGTTTGCATGTTCAAATTTCTATCATTATCATACATATAATGTTCATTAATTTTTATTTTCTATTGCTACAGCATTTTGAGAGTAATAATAGTATTAGGAATAAATATTAAAATGTTGAAGTGAAATACTGCTTACAGGTGGTCAACCATTATGTGGTTTGCCGGGAGGATCAAAGGGTGAAATAAAGCATCGCTTCGAAATTACTAAAAAACTTGGGTCAGGTACATATGGTAAAGTATCGCTTGCTTATGATCACAAAACTGAACGAGAGGTTTTTCTTTTTTTTTTCTTGTTATTTTATCTCTTTTATATCTCTAATTTTGTTTCTGAGTATATTTTTACTTTAATGACTAAATTTGCAATTTGTTAATTTTATTTTCATCCAAATCTCCTATTCCACTAAATGTATGATAAAAATTTGTGACAGTTAAAAAAAAAAGTTTTTTCCTTTCTAATTTCAGGTTGCCTTAAAGCTTATTAAAAAAAGTGCAATTGAAAATAAGCAAGATTTGGTAAGAATTCGAAGGGAAATAAGGATAATGTCCGCATTGAATCATCCCAATATTATACAAATTTTCGAGGGTTTCTCCTTTTTTCTCTGTTCTTTTTTTTTGAAGAAACTTTTTTATTAGAAATTTAAGGTAATATAAATTTGCTTTAAATATTTAATTTTAATTTGTTGTCTTAACAAATTAAAAAAGAAGAAACTAAATAAATTTCAGTATTTGAAAATAGAGATAAAATAATACTCGTTATGGAGTATGCAAGTGGTGGAGAATTGTACGATTATGTAAGCACATTTGGATCTCTTCCAGAGCCTGAAGCTCGTCGAATTTTTCGTCAAA